CGTGTTGCTTTTCAACATGATGGGGTATATTTAGCACCCTTTTTTCTCTGCTTCACAGCCACCACGGTATGCCGCGTAACTATGTCAATTGCTTGATATATGTGCGCGTGCTTTCCAATTACCTTTAGTTTCGAGTTCAGCGCCCTGCTATCTCTTCTTCAGTCCTTGTATTTATCAGCTCTTTTTATATTGTGAGCGAATAAGCTTTCGGAGCGCGCCGCGCAAGCATAAGCGGTACGCCAGCGATGAGCCGTGAAAGTCGACCTTCAGAAAAAAGAGCATGCGGACTTTAATAATCAATGTAAAGCGAAGCATACTAGGAAGCATGCCGACAAATCAGAAAACAATCCTCAAAGCCAGCGCACGGTGGTTGAGCGGCGTTGCCTGTACATATCTTTTAGTCCCTGAACTTCCTTTTGAAGATACTTTTAATGTTCGATAACGAAGAATTGTTCTGAAACCTAGGAGCCAACGAGACAGCTCGTTTGGCAAAACCAGCTGTCTGGTCGGCTCCCAAAATAAAGGTATAGTTATTAGTGTCTATTTTCTTATTGATCTTTTTCTTACTCACTAAATCTTTGTTTTCGTTTTTTTAATACAGTGTCTTTATTCTACAACTTTTTCTTCTTTTTTTGTTGTAAGCCATAGTGCAGTTATCGTCCATATGAGACTATAAGTTCTCTTGGCCGATCCCTTAGAGTGGGTATGAGCCATGGATTAGAGGCTACAAACAAACAATTAAACTTGACCAATGACGTTGCAGTTCTCAGTTTCATTAATTGCTGATGCAAAAACGAACGCTCACAAAAATATTCTTGTCATTGTATTCAGTCGAACTGGTCGAGCCGTGGATCTGACGGCCACCAAGCTCCTTTCATACTTCCATAATTGATACGTTTCCAAGGAGTTTCTATGTGTCGTCGTGCCCTGCCTCTTACGTTTCTTCTGGGTGGCACCTACATCCTTTTGACGTTCGTGTGAAGTGCGTCATTTTAGTACATGTCTGAGTTAGTACAATTGACCAATGGCCCGATCGTAAGCGCCCCCCCCCCGGCCAGTTTAAATATTCAGAGCTATTTTACCTTAAAGTTGAATCTGCACGAACTGCGCAGTATTTATCTTCCTATGTGTCTGTTACCTTTATATGCCGTTCTCTATCTTTAATATTGCTTTTTTTATACGATTTCACACTGTAGAGCCTTTTCCCTTTACGTTTTAATATTGTATGATTGAATAATCATGTATTTCGGGAGAGGTATTACTCTAATATTGTGCCTTAAGACACACATTTTTCGCTCTGAAGTGCCACTGCCATACTATCTTAAGATGCGCGCTATGAGCGAGCGTCGTTTTAGCAACCGACAAACGACTACACTTCCTGTGTGTATGCATATTATGCTTGGGATAATAGCGCCTGTGGCGCATGGATGGTAAGCAATGCAGAAGAATTAACCAACAGGCCGTCATTCTAGGCCACTGCTACCGGAGCTTAGCGTTGTAGTTTTAGTTTACAATGTGAATTGCGTGAACAGGCATCACAGAGTATGAATCGGATGTCAAGTGGGTCGTTAAAAGCTTCCAACCCATTACAAATGGCCCCTCATTGCTATGAGAGCCCACATCAATTTATGGTGTAGTGGGTACCTTACAAGCGTACTTGCATTAGTAGCGAAAATTAACTTGGGAATAGGCTCTAGTTACTACGCTCCTCTAGCTTTCGCTGTGACTGTGCTGGGCATTCCCAGCGGGTCTGGCGCTCTGTTTTTCTCATGCCACCGACAGCTCACACCGGCTATTAGCACTGGTAGCGCAACCATTTGCCACTGGCGACCAAAAAAAAAAACAACTGATGTTCCCACCGGCAGCGGCTGCAAGCAATCGATCAAAAGTCGCAAAACCGGAGAAGCACGTCGAGATTTTGTTATCAGCGAGAACTCTGGAGACGGGCGCCGATCAGCTGACCGCAACCAGCTGAGCGAGCGAAGTGAACCGAGCGCACCGCATTTGCTGTTTTTCTCCGTTGTCTCACAACGTTCCCAGCAGTGCCACGGAGTTCGATTCCCTTTTAAAGGAGTATGTGCTCACACAATGATATTGTATGCTGTGATGTAGGTATTTTCGATCTGTTTTTATTTTTTGAGTGCCGTGCAATTCAACTTGTCCCCACTGATATAAATGTACTTTGAATTTGTAACCCCCCCCCCCTTCAACAACGCCCCCCAGAGGGCGCTGTAGGTATAAGTATATAAATAAATAAAAAAATTCAAGCGAAGAACAAGAGATTGTCATGGCGCTGATGCGCTGTGGCATGGTGTCAGCGCTGGCAGCACAGAAGCTTCCCGAGAAAAAAACCCGGTGGTGGGTGTGACAATGGTGGCTGTGGCGATGGTGTCACAGACCCAGAGGAGCGCGCTCGTTTGTATCTCGTGACAGGAGGCCAGCGCAATGAAAAAAAAAACATGAAACAAAAAAGTGAGCCTGCATATAAATGAATGCTGGTGTTACTTCTTGCCATCGCTGATTGGTTCTAGTAGTTTTGCGACTGCAGTCTCGTGACTAAAAATTGTGCAAGAAGCGACTAGCCAAAGCAGTCGCTTTGCGACCATTTGCAACTGTTTGCGACCAGTTGAAAACTATCGCACGACCGCTGCTGGTAGCTGGTGTGAGCCAGCCATTAGTACAGGGCATAATGATAAGCCCGTCTGACTACCTCTGCGACATAACAGTGGAGTAATGTTTTCTATTCAGACGACATCAATAAACTATTTTCCGATATGATTTTTTTCGTAACCTCTGCAAGTGCTGATCTGTCAACATGAGGGTCGTGATAGAAAGGAAGAAAATTGGTTGTGCTTAAAAAATCACCTGACCGAGTGATAAAAGTTTTCCATTACGAATCGTTGTGTAGCTGTGTGACAATGTTGTTGAGTGCAGAATTATTCAACACATTTATTAGTTTGCCATAGTTCTGCTGCTAGTGGCTGTTCAGGAAATGTCCGAGAGGTTTTTCACCCTCTTCATTTTTGCCAATGGGGGAGGGGGGAGAGCAGAGGTGGCACGAAAGCCCTCTTTCCGTCTTTAAAAGGACGCTTATGTGTGCATAGAAATTTTGACGTGCGTTCAAAAACACTAGAAAATGTTTCCACGTCGCGCACAAAATCAACCTCTGTGTCCGCACTTATGGGTAGTACAATTTACAACACGGCTCGGACGACACGCTGTCCCACACTAGCTATTATTCCATGTTGTAAACAAGCGATATTTTTTGTATTCATTTACCAGCACTCACGTATTTCCCTCTAGAGCACATGGAAACTGACTGCAGAGATCACCGTCATATCTGCACTTACGGCTCTGTAGAGCGCACATTAACCGTCATTGGCGTCTGGGTTCAATCTGCCAATGTCACCAGCTCTGCCACTCTCAGTCACTGCATCTGATATACAGCCACTGAAAGCGTTGAACTACAGGCTGCTATCAAGTACGTTGTAGACCATTCAGCCGACTTCACGTTCATCTTTCTTGGCTCAAGAGGAGCGCACCTGCAAGTGAAGTCTCCATGCACGGAGAAGCAACTTGTGATGGACATCAAACGTTTATGCAATAAAGCCTGCGACCTGCATCACCGCATTGTTTTGCAGTGGAAACGTGCCCATTGCGGAATACAAGGCAACTTCCGGGCTGATGACGTTGCCAAAACTGGACATGACGCCTCGATAAAAGTTGTGGAGATGCTTTTCTAGAAGCAAGGCACTGCAACAATAGTGTTGGCACAAACTTGGCAAATCCAGCGATTCCTGTGAAGAGATGCTAGTTACCAGTGTAGACCTCTGTACAAATTCGATGTTTTGCGTCACTTTAGTATGCCGCGAGGCCTTCACAGGCAAGGCGAAACACGCTTACACCACGTACGACTAAACATTGGATTTACCAACTCCTTTAGAATTTGACTGGAGCGGCAGACTCACTATTGTGTGTCCAATGTAACGTCGTAGACGACATCAATGGTGTCCTTTCTAAGGGCAAGATATACACATCCGAGAGAAAGTTTCCGAAGATGGCTTTAGAACTGCAACGGGACTGAAACTTGGAGTTGAAAAATATTTTAGGCCCATGGTAAGAGAGCTCGAGTGCGTTATTTGGCACAAAAGCGCTACTGACGTCCCTGCGGGCCAGAAGCCTGATCGGGACGTTAATTGACTGATTTGTGGGGTTTAACGTCCCAAAACCACCATTTGATTATGAGAGACGCCGTAGTGGAGGGCTCCGGAAATTTCGACCACCTGGGGTTCTTTAACGTGCACCCAAATCTGAGTACACGGGCCTACAACATTTCCGCCTCCATCGGAAATGCAGCCGCCGCAGCCGGGAAGTGATCGGGACGTTGTAAATAGTGTATATAGTGTAATGTGAAAATAAGGAACATTCATTAGGGTCTCTAGCTGTCCTATAAATTGATTCTCTTTTTCTCTTGCGTGGTAAAATGCATTTTATAATAAATTTGTGTACTAGTTATCGTAGCGCATTTTTGTGAAGGGTACAATTATGTATAGCAACCAGCCTGTGAAACATCATGACTAAGTTGGCGTCTGGTAGTTCCTTGCGACGTTTTGAAACATTGGCAATATTTTTGGTTCCCTTTTATCCCATATGAATGTTTTTATTTATGATACCCCTTTATGAAGGATTGCATTATTACCAGATGTAATTCTAGCTCTTATATTATTATAGGTTATTCATTACAACGGCAATAAATAAACGAACAACTGCTGCTTGTACAACTATATTGACGTTTTCATGAGAAAGTTCTAGCATGCTGCAAACACAATCACAAAACTTTAAATTTGCCGATTTTCATTGAAATGTTCGATATTTACCACATCATTTTATTGCTATTGTGCTTGTTCATTTTCATTGCACCACGCGATGTTCACCATGAAGACACATAACAATGAACAGTCAAGGAGATGCTCAAAACGTATATATCGTTTTTTTTTCAGAGCCCAATATAATGCAGCTGAAACTGATATTCGGGTACTTCCTGTTTTTACAAATGATCCTGTTAGCTTGTAAGTACACACTCTTGAATATGTATTGCTCTAATGCACTTTGAACAGGTGCGACACTGTTACTGCAGCTCTCTCTTCATCACTTCATAACACGTCGGGTAAATTATTTCTTAAGCTGCATTCCACTGATCCTGATATTTGTGAAAAACTGTGCATTTTTCATCATTGAGCATTGATGACGAGAAAAATAATGAGATTTACCGTGTGCATGAGAAAAAGCTCCGCACAATGTTTCATATAAAATATTGGTGTTCGATATAGTGCAATCCAGCATTTTGCCTACCTTGGCTGCTTCTATAGAAGACATCTTAAAGAAACTTGGTGTGGGCTTCAAATCAAATCTTGACACATCTGAAACACTAGGAAACATGAGCTATTGGCTAGGAACAATATCATCTGCATGCATGTACAGTTCCCAAGGCCCAATAAAAAGGAGGAGGCCATGTAACAGGATTAGCGACGTGGCGTCATCAACGTACAGTCATCCACGGATTTAGGAACAAAACAGCCTCACAAGCCTTGGCATCTATTGAAAATGAAGTTTACAGTTGTTCCTATCAACGTGCAACCGGCAGAATTACTGCAGCTGCTGCTCTTTCTTGGTGATTTTTTTTTACGTGTGATTTTGCGTACGTCTCTGTGATCCCGTAAATTCAGAATTGAAATGCGCATCAAAGGACTAGTAGCAGGCCTTGACACGTGTATTCCAACTACAGTGAATTAATGGCCTATTCCCCCTTGAGCTAACCTACACCGTTTCACTGTACGGATATCAGTTCTTCCACAATAAAAGCTGCTATGTAATTTGTGCAAGCTAACAGGCATCCACTTTGGGCGTGAACACCATATCATGCGACTACTTTCAGCGTGAGCAACGCACTATGCGGCCAGCGTAGGCCAGTATAACGTTCCTAGAAGAAAAAAGTCTCCAAAGTAGCATGACTCATTGTTCTCTAGCCATCCTTCTCACTTTCTCACTTACCCCTACTTTTTTCTGCAATCCGCGTCTGTATTTGGGCTTTTCGTGCGCGGACGTCACCGATTCGCTGAACGTACCACTGCCATTAGACGAGGAACTTGATCGTGCCGACATGGAAACAACGTCAGTGCGAAAGCGCACGCGTCTTAGCGAGTCGGGCAACGATGATGAGGGTGCCTAGCGTAAGATGTACGCCGTGGCGCTCGAACGTGCCACGGTTACGTTACTTACGACACCGTCAATGTATTCGGATGCGCATGAAGACTCCATCACCCACGAAACGGACCGAACCAATGAGCCTGAGTTTCAGACCATCCTCTCCAAGTCGAATAAGCTCAAACAGCGAGCATCGACATCTGAGAGACCCACTGCCCACACTGGTCCTCGTCCTTCCACTCCATCTACGGCTATGCCTGCCCACGTTGCCCCCGGGCCTGCCAATGCGCCCACAGAGGCTCAGACCGCTCCTGCAAGGGTGCGTGCCGCTGAACACGCCGTGCTGGCCTCGCCATCACCTATAGACTCAGGCACTGTTATTTAAATGCGAAGCATTTCTTAGCGAACTTGGGCGACTTGGAGAGTATCTATCTATCTATCTATCTATCTATCTATCTATCTATCTATCTATCTATCTATCTATCTATCTATCTATCTATCTATCTATCTATCTATCTATCCATCTATCTATCTATCTATCTATCTATCTATCTATCTATCTATCTATCTATCTGTCTGTCTGTCTGTCTGTCCGTTTGTCTGTCTATCTATCTATCTATCTATCTATCTATCTATCTATCTATCTATCTATCTATCTATCTATCTATCTATCTATCTATCTATCTATCTATCCGCCTTCGACTTTTCGCTCTCATGGCCGTTTCGATAGAGGTATCGATACCAAACTTGGTATGCCATAACAAGACTGAATGAGGAACATATTTGACTAGTCATAACATGAAAATTATGACACGTGTCATGCATGTCATGATTTATAATTCATGGTCCTGCAGCTACTGTGGTGGTTTCGTTGACATGGCATGTTGCGAAACCGGTATGGTATGGAATGATTGTATGGCGAACATAAGCGACAAACCCTAACATAAAAATCATGACATGCGTGTCATGTAACAACGTGACTACATGCCACGCTGATGATGCGATCGCGGCCATTTTGCTAGCGTCACTTGTACCGAATTTGGTATTATGGTACGCGAATGGATGACGAAGGTATGTGATTGGTGCAAACATATAAATAATTGGATGCGTGTCATCAAACATGACTACATACCATGCTCATGACGCCGTAGTGGTCGTTTCGCTAGCTTCAGTCTTACCAAATTTGGTGTTACGGCGTGCCAATGGATGACGAAGGTATGATACTAGTGCAAACATGATAAACACGAGATGCGTGTCGTGTAACATGATTAAATGCTGCACTCCTGATGCGGTCGTGGCCATTAAGCTTGCTTCACGTGTACCGAACTTAGCATTACGTGACGTAAACGGGCGACATAGGTAAATGACGCATTCAAATGATGATACACTGATGATGCGACGCGACCGTTTCGCTAGCTTCACATATGACGAATTTGGTATTACGTGACGCCAATTGATGAAGAAGGTATGCGACTGGTGAGAAGATGACTACATGCCACAGCTAAGGCGACAATACATTAGGGAGTTTTAGTGCTAGGTACGCACTCTCTTGGGGCGTTGCTGGCTTGGAAGCGCGTGGCGTTGCGTGCCCAACCCATACCTAACCGCAATGCTTTTTAGTTGGCGCCACGATGGCACGCACGCAAACGCAAGGCGCACGAAGTTCACACACGCTCGCAGCGCCACAGCGTCTTGTCGCGTAAGTATTATTTCAGTCTTTTTAAGATTTAAAATGTTAAATAAACATACATAGTGATCAGGACACCTTTTTGTGTGTACAGTAATCTGGTATACGCAAAAAAGTGAAAAATGCAAGGTTACTGTAAAGACAGTGTCGACATCTTGTGACATTTCGTGCAACCGCAGTCATGGACATGTTAGCTTACGCGTAAGGTTTTTGAGGTGAAAATGAATAAAAAGGTTACTTATTTGTAATATTGTCGCTGCGCAGTTTTTGCACCAGATGTACAATGCCCAATGTTTCTGCAATAACAAAGTTGTGGTTGTCTCTTTCACTATGGCCGCGCTCGATGGCGCCACCCATTTAGCTGGTCGGGGGCTGGCATATGTCTTTTAGTTTCTATGTTCTAGGCCATTCTAGCTTTGGAAATCTGGCTGAAACCGTGTAAACGCTATGAGTGCTCGCACTTTGGCTTATTTTAACTCGGCGGCTAGAGTATCCGCAGTGCGGATACCGTGAGTTCTTCCGAACGCGGACCGCACGGACGCATGGCCCCATCGCCCCAGCGATCTTGCGACGCACCTGTTTGGGGTTGCGCGTATGCGCATACCACCGCCCCAACGTCCTGGGTACGCAAGCCGCTTGGGTACCCAGCACTAAAACTCCCTATTTCGACGTGATGCGGGGCGCGTGCTCGCCGGCGTTCATTTCGTTGCATCAAGCCGGCGTTACCATGCCAGGCACCGGTCCTGGCATTACTCGCCGGCGCGTGCCGCGCTGCGTTGCTTTGACGCATGCACATTTCAGTGCGTCCGGTGTCCCTCCGTCACGAAAAGGGGGAGACGCAGTGTTCTCAGAGTGACGCATCGGCACGAAATGTAGCATGTAGCATTTCACGCCGATTGCCGTCGGACCGCACCGACGGACGCTGTTCACACCTGGCGTCAGACGATTTAGTGCTTGTGTTTTGCTAACGCAACGTCGCTGTGCCCAGCGTGCGCGCGTCAACACCTCATTGGATGTATTCGTCCCTTCATAATGCGATTGTGGTCGTTTTGCTAGTTTCACACTTAACAAACTCGGTATTAAATGACGTCAATGGATAATAAAATACACTACTGGTGCAAACATGATAATCCTGACACGCGTGTCATGTAGGAACATGATTATATACCACGGTCACCGCGTTCTCGCGGCCGTTTCACAAGTTCCACATATCCTAAATTTGGTATCACGTGACGTGAGTAGTTGCCCCGCCGCGGTGGTCTAGTGGCTAAGGTACTCGGCTGCTAACCCGCAGGTCGCGGGTTCGATTCCCGGCTGCAGCGGCTGCATTTCCGATGGAGGCGGAAATGTTGTAGGCCCGTGTGCTCAGATTTGGGCGCACGTTAAAGAACCCCAGGTGGTCGAAGTTTCCGGAGCCCTCCACTACGGCGTCTCTCATAATCATATGGTGGTTTTGGGACGTTAAACCCCACAAATCAATCAATCAATCAATCAGTGACGTGAGTAGTTGACGAAGGTAACGACACATCAAAACATGATAATTATGACACAAAAGTCATGTACGTCATCAATTACCAGTGCCTCGTAACGTTATGCTGATTTTAAAGTGACATATCCACATTTATAATTTGTGTTTCGCATATCATCGATTCCCACTTTCCGTGGGATCTGCCAATTTTCTCGCATCTCCTTTTTTCACCGCACCTCCCGTCTTGCTATTATTGCGCAAGCGTACTCTGCGCTGCCCGGAGACAAAGAGGTGCGAGAAAACACATTAAATGGCAGCATATCTACGAAGTAAATGATGGAGAGTGGGGCGAAGCCTTCTTCCTTCCATTCGTTTTTTCTTCCATCCGTCCTTGAGTCTGTCTGTGTGACAATTCGTGCGTCCTTCCGCCCCTCCGTGCATGCGTGTGTTCGTGCGTCCGCACGTCCGCACGTCCATCCGTTCGTCCGTCCCTGCGTTCATGCATCCGCCCCTGTGTTCATCCGTCCGTGCAGCCATACGTGCGTCTGTCCATGCATCTGTCTGTGTGTCCGTTCGTTCATCTAGTCAACACTCCAAACGCCACCATCTTGCATCTTTTCATCGTATATTCCGCATATAGAAGTACCGCCATCCAGCGGACTACCCAAGGCCTAAACAAGAGGTGGCCCACGCACACTTTCTTACTGCTT